TGACAAACCGAAATCTCCTCACCATTGTACCCAACCTTCTTGCTGCTCATGTCTTTTTGCCATGCCTCCTCGCTCGGTTGGATCTGTGACACATCGCTGGAACATCTCCTGCGGGCTGCTGACAAAAGTGAGTTCACTGCAGCCTGCTCGGACTTCGTCCAGCGGCCTTGGAGGGTCGCGCGTTAAATCCAGCCAAACGACTCAAAGCGCATCCCGAGAGATAGGCCCATGCCTTACCGCTCCAGATATTCACAAGCTCTTCGTTCAACATTTCAGCTAAAGTTGAACCTGCAAAGACCTCCTCAAGCTCACCGAACTCTCCAAGTCTCAAGGGAAAGGTGGCCCCCCGCATTCGTTTCGGGGTCCACCTGTGCTTGGCAGTAGCTTCACGCCATACATCCATGGATTCAAAAGTGATACCATCGCAACATCTTTGACCAGAAGCATTGATGAGCCACCACGCCAGAACGACACCCGTGCGCCTGAACGAGTCACACCGGCGAATGGCTTCTTTCAAATCATCCAGCCTGAACTCCCTTTTGGGACAACGTGCAACGGGGTGCCAGCGCCTCCCTAGACTCATCTCGAGTCATCATTTGTCTGGGACCTTCTCTCTGGTTTTCCCATCTCCTTCTTTTTCCTGACCTTGCCAACTCTTGAACTTTCCTTGTCCTTTCTGTCCTTTCTTGCCCTTGCCTTTCGACTCTGTGGCCCCATCGCCCCAGGATCCTCCTTTGCTCCGTCCTCCTCGACCTTTGCCGCCGCTTTGCCAATGCCAGGAATCGCCCGGCGCTAGCTGTGACGCCAGCTTTGGCATGCTTGCGAGCGCGGAGCAAGACCTCTGGAGTGGCAGCTGTCCCCTCCTCCAACGGCAGCACAGGTGACGTGCTGTTGACCACGAGCCGTCTATAACCGACTGATGAAGACTCATGAATCTTCCGGCCAACACGTCTCCCAAAAGGTCCGAGCTGCCTTGCCGGAGGAGATCTATCGATTGGGCCAGCACGTGCAACTCCCGGGCCTGGGCCATTGCTGATCCCAACTGAGGTCTCACCACAATCGAAAAATAACTGCCCATCTTGACTCCGGTCATCACCGTCACCTCTTCCGGTTTCCCTATTATGCTGACTTTTGCAGACTGGTCCAGCTGAGATCTCGCATGGGAGATGAGCATCTGCAGGACTGACCCTGGCTTTTCTTTTGAGCGTCTCGTCAAGGGAGCCTCGAGTTTCTTCTCCTCCGAAGTTGATGAGTCCTCTTCCGAATCCTTTCCAGAGTTGCTCTTGGAGCTCCCGATCGCTGAGTCGCTGCTTGAGGGACTCCCATCCGGGTCCTGCCCCCTCTTGCGTCTCCGCCTCTTCTTGCCATCTCGTTCCTTCCTTCTCTTCTTTTCTTTCTTCTGTTTCTTGTTGCCTTCCTGACTGCTCTCCTCTGGGGGCTCCTTCTGGCCAGTCAACTTGGTAAGGATCTTTGCTAATTGGTGGTGAGAGCTCCGGGCTTTCGTCTTTCTCTTGGCCTCTTGAGCTTTCTCGGCTGTCTGACGTGCTGCTTCCGCCGCAACCAGGGGCAAGCTTTTTGTAATAGTGTCGTTTGAATCCTCCTTCTTCCTTTTCGTGTCTCTTTTTCTGACGCGACTCTGAGAAGAAGATTTTCTCTTGTCTTTGGCTTTCCTGGGACCTTTCAGGCGGTCGCCCTCTTCCATCTTCCCATCTTCCGCAGTGCCTCTTCGACGCTCGCATCCTCCAGAGCTGGACGCCCACGTTTATCCAAATCTGCTGTGTGAGCTAAGGAGGGTGTATAGTCGTGCTTTGAAGAGGCTGCTCTGCCCTCCTGAGCTGGGTAGCCCGCATCGGCCTCGTGGCCAGCGCCCCGGTTGACAGTATCCTTCAGCATCCTTGCCCGGGCCTCGTCCAACCTTTGGCGTAGTTTGAGCTTCTCTTCTTCGCCTATCTTCAAGCCTTTCTTCTTCGGGTCTCCTCCATCCCCACCGGCTGCAGCGGCAGGGGCCGGCGCCGTGGGCTGCTTGGTCAGGGGTTGTGGACCAGGGGCCTTGTTTTCTAAGGGCCCCTCTGCCACTTCTTCCCCCTCCTTGCCATTGCTCACATCGATGGCTTCGTCTCCAACTTCGTCCACTTCGTCGCCCTGCCACTTGCCTAACTGCTTCTTCATATAGGCATTCATGTAGGGCCGGTCGAAGGTTTCTACGGAAAAGATCCGGAGCCGAGTCACGTGCATGGCATACTCTTCCGTAGTTCCACACGGCTTTGAACTGCAGAGATGAACACGCCCGGATTTGCGATCAATTGACCTGACAGATATCGAGTCCAGTCTGGATCGCTGCATCCTAGGCTCTTCACGTTGAGCACATAATCTCCATTTCCCATCATCATCACCTGCTTGACCCAAAAGCCGGCCCAAAGATTGCCCATGCATTCCAGATTTGTGCTTGGAAGATGCACCTCTATGATTTCGTTTCGATTCACCAACAGAGATTCCCATTCGTTTGGACTCTCCAAATTGAATTCACGGCCTTCTGCAAGGTCCATGCTAACGGCGTCCTTCGCGAGGCCGATGGCCAGCGTAGGATCTAGCACCTGTCCAAAAAGAATGCGGTGGCTTCTTGTGAACTCGTAGATCTGGATTTTCCAAGTCCGATAAACCCGAGGATGCTTGCTGTCTCCCCTAGATCCTCTTCTCTTACCTGAACCTGAGCGCCGCTTCCCAGAATGCCTCTTCTTATGAGACCTGGATCGTTCTCAACGTTCTTCACGACGAGGTTCACTGTGATGCGACTGCCGAGGTGGGTGATTTGGCTCAGGCGGCTTTCGGGCTGGATCAGCCTTAGCGCAAGCGCCTTCCACCCTGTCGTCGTCGAACTCCTCCTCTTCTTCCGACTCTTCACCGATGCTCTCTGCCTGGACCTTCACCGGTGGAGGTGGTGGAGTAGGCGCTCGGCTTCGAGGACGGTCTGCTGCAGGGGTTGATCTTGGCAAAGAAGGCCTGGTGTCGCCGCTCGCAGCAGCTCGGGAGGCCCCAGCGCTAAACGAGCTAGAATCGAGATCTCTCAGCGACTTGATGGCCCTCACAGTGCTCACTATCACGTCGTTTGCTGCGGCCCTGAAACCAGCAAATTTCCAAGGCGCAAACAACTCACAGACCAGTGTTTCAACCCCTGAGCAGCCTAAACACCAGCTATCGTTATCAAACGGAGTGGCTTGTCTACACTTTGAACACCTACTCATGAACCTGATGGTTTGAACCTAAATCCCCCACAACAGCAGTCAACAGGTCAGAGCTACGTTACACAAACTGTTCAAAGAACAATCTTGTATAGTAACTAGACGTAACTAGTAACACGTGACATGCAGCAAAACAAGCAAACAGCAATACATCGCAAGAAAAGATTTAAGTACTTGTTTCTTATTTTCTTTCTTGCTTTTGTTGATAGATGCTCCAACTAGTTTTCCCTCAGAAAAACACCAGCAACCAACGAACCCAAATGCAGTCACGTAAAACACTTTTGTGAGACAAGTTATTTCAACAGTCTCGTACATTCTTCCCCTGTTACCATACCAGTGTAGACTGTGGAGTGTGGAATGGGGTGAGGTGTAGTGTGTGGAGCGTAAAGACAGCGGAGTGTTGAGTGGGGAATGTAGTGTTTAGGGTATGCAAGTGTACGTAAAGTATAAAGTGACGAGTGTGGCGTGCCAAGTGTAAAGTGTGAAGTGTAAAGTGCAAAGTGTAGAGTGGAGTGTAAATTGTAAATTGTAAAGTGTAGAGTGTGGAGTGTCAAGTGTAAAGTGCGACATGCAAAGTGTAAAGTCTAAGGTCTGGAGCGTGTAAAGTGTAGAGTGTCGAGTGTGGGCTGTCAAGTGTAACGTATGAAGTGTAAAGTGTAATGTGTAGAGTGTGGAGTGTAAAGTGTAAAGTGTAGTGGAGTGTCCAGTGTGAAGCGTAAAGTGCAGAGTGTGGAGTGTAAAGTGTAAAGTGTCAAGCGTAGTGTGGGGAGTGTAAAGTGTAGTGCACAGTGTCAAGTCTAGAGTATAGAGTGTAGAGTGTAAAGGGCAAGGTATAAAGTATAAAGTATGAACACAACAGCGTGCACTTTTTGACATCTCAATTTCCAAAAGTGTACGACATTTTGACTTCGAACGGTGCTTCGCGCAACAGTCACGTGCACTTTTGGACCGTCTCAACTTCCAAAACATCTCCGAAGTGGCGGTGTGTTCACCATTTTTACCTCCAAATGCGCTTCGTGCCATACTCGCGTGCACTTTTTCGACATGGACTGAAAAAATCGCAAAACGCATTGGCAGAGGCCGCCAGTTCTGTTCTCAACTATCCATTCTTGACGAAATTCTTCTAGAATTGCTTCGATTTGCTTCGTTTTTGACGTTTTCAAGTGCAAAAAATGAGGAAGTCTCGTGGAATTTCATCGTTTTGGAGCTGTGAACTTGCACTTTTTGAGGAAGTCTCGCAGAGATAGATAGAGAGCTTAGATGCGATTAGATTAGATCAGGTTAGGTTAGATTAGATTAGCATAGATTAGATTAGGTCAGGTTAGGTTCGATCAGATTAGCATAGATTAGATCAGGTTAGGTTAGATTTATATAGATTAGATTGAATTATATAGATTAGATTAGGTTGGGTTTAGATTAGATTAGATTAGATCAGATCAGATTGTATTAGATTTAGATTAGATTAGATATTAGATAGATGGAGAGATAGATGGAGAGATAGATGGAGAGAGAGAGAGAGAGAGAGAAAGCGAGAGAGAGAAACAAACTAGCCTCAACCACCTTTCAATCCATCATTGGGTTCGCTCTGCCATCCATGCGTCACAACAACCAAACTCTGCCATAACTTTACTATCTTTGAAACTTCCGCCACCGCCTTGTGCGGTACGACTGGTAATTATGTTGATTCTAATATTCTAATTGGATCTAATTAGATTATATATAGATCGCGAGTAATTACACGTTCATCTCAATCCAGGTCACTTCTCTTCGTCGGACAGAATGTTCTCATTCGGGTCTGTAAGCATCCATCCTCCAGCATCAAGAGCGCTGTTGACCAACGTGCCCCGGACATCCAAGACGTATCGGAATGAACACGCAAGACAATCATCTCCTGAAACCTAAGAATTCCTTAAAAGATACTGTGTACACCATTCCGAACATGGAAAATCTCAGGATCTGAATTGTGCAATACATGCCCTGGAAAGCCATGAAAACACCCAGCCTTCTTTACAGGCCTCGTTTGCAGCAACGACTTTGAACTCCTGCATCGAAAGAATACCACTTTGCCGCTTGCGCGTGCTGTTATCTAATTTCTTTGTACTTTCACCTCTTTGTGCTCTTTCAATGAAAGTGTTCAAACTTGCCGGGGCGGTTCGGATGCGTTCGAGGTTGAACATTTAGGCCAACGAAACTGCACGATGATTCACGTTGTTCTGCTAGTTGGATGACACAAGTTTCAGTACAATCAAAATTGAAACCCATCAATCACTTGCACGGAGTCATCGGTTCCAGGGTTGGGAGCAGTGTCACAAACACCCAAGAATCATGCGCACACACACAAATTGCGTGCATAAGGTGTGCACATATATATGTTACATTTATGCACGTAATATGAAACAAACACGTTCCTTAAATAGTATTGACCACCGTGGCACCAGGTCCAACTAGCAGCTCTTAAACAAACAAATCGCACGGCTAGGATTGATCATGGACTAACATACCTTCACAGTCCTCACTAAGACCCTCTCCAAGTGAGACAAACCCCTTACCAAGCTGTACAGGGAAAGCGGCCGAGGGCAAACTAGGCTTGGAAAAAACTAAGGAAGACTCGGGTCACAGTCGTTCTCAATTGCGCAAAGATTTCAAAGTTCCTTTAAAAGCAGGCCAAGCTGATCCAACCCTGATTGTCTCAAAAACACGAAAGTACATTGTGAAATTGACGTATCAGAACTAAACATACTAAACGCCGACCAAGAAGATTTCGCTGTAAGGTTTATACAATCTCAAGTCGCACTGCTGGTCACGAGTTTTTTTCAACAAGTAAGACATTGTTGGCTCATCCAGCACTGGGAAAGCAGCTTTTTGGAATAGCCGCGCATTTGCACATGCACATGCTCGTTCACAGTCTGCTCTCACTCTGGCACCATGGAATCATATCTGCTTCATCACGCTCAAGACATGCGCAAACCATCCCCGCCCCTATGTGCAAGCATGAGGTTGAAGGGACGGACAGGATCGGATAAGTCGTACAAGCACAGCAACTAAAGCACTGTTGAAAGTTGCTGACCAAACGGATTGGTTTCAAAGACTTGGTTTCAAACATTGCACTGAGTCGAGTTGCTGCTAATTGCTGCTGTCATCTACGGTGTCTGTCCAGCCAAAGGAGGTTCGGAATTCAAGCTTTAAATTGCTGACAAACTTTTGCCATCTTTCGCCAGTCCGTGCAGGCATCACTGTACTTAGGACTGTTTTGGACTGCTTGGGATAAACTGAAGTGGCATGGCCCTGGTTTCCATGGCATTATTCATTTTCGCTTCGATTTTACTTCGACAACGCATCCACCTGCCACTTCCACTGAAATGTCTTTGCCAACTGGATATTCCCTCACAAAGTCATGTTGACCAAACAAAAGAGGAACCCCAAATTGTGGGGAACTGCATCCCTCCAAATCTGCTGCCTTCTTGAACTTCAAGGCCGTTTGCATTTCGCTTTCTTCCTGGAGAAATGTCTGAAGGACACGAGTCACTAGAAAACACAAATGCTCCATGTCCTCGAAGCTACAGGCAAGGCGTGCTCTCCATTTTTTGAAGTCAAGATTGAAAACAAGTCAAGAAACAAAGCAACAAAGCTTGCACAAAAAAAAATGTAATATACTTGTACTGTACTTGTACTGTACTTGTACTGTACTTGTACTGTACTTGTACTATTCCTGCTCTTCCTTGCCGGCATTTCCAAAATCTTTCTGTCCAGTATCACAGGCATCTGCGATGCATGCCCTGGAGCAAAGACAGCATTCTGCTCTTCTGCTTAGTCTGCTTAGTCTGCTCACAAGGTCTTACAAGATCTTACTTGCATTCATTGAGAGATGTGGAAAGCACACACTTTCGAACGCAGCAACTTGGGTCCAGACTGGTACGTGGCATCCTGGGTCGAGGGGCCACACAGACCATCTCAATCTGTAAACTTCACGTCATTTCACGAGTGAAACCTGTGAAACACGACGTAACTGATCGTAACAATATGAAACTGTGGAAATCTGTGGAACTTTTTTGCAGTCAAGTTTGTGTCCCAACACTTTTGATCCAGTTCGTGGGTAGCGCCCTCTGGGTTGACACTAACCATACTTTGGTTCAGACTTATCTCACCAACAAAACCTGTCACCCGTATCGGCCGTATCGGATTTCAGAACAGGTTGTGAGATGTTGCGAGATGTTGTGAGGTAGCATCTCCTGGTTTGCCTTTGCTTCTGCATCTTCTTCAACCTCCTCTTTCTCCTCCTGGCCACGAATCATGTCATGGGTGGCCCCCAATCAATTCCCCTATCGCAGTCATATGCGAAGGCAGTGAGCTAGACAAATAAAGCGAGAGAGAGAGAGAGAGAGAAGAAAAAGCAATTGGGAGAGATGCCTGTCTTTTGCTCGGACTCGGCCAAACATCTGGTAAACAGCATCAACAAATCAACATAAATCAACAAACTAATTTGCTTGAAGTATCTTGAAGTCTTGATATGCCGCTGCTTCCTCTGTTTTCTCTTTCTTCAAGACTGCGCATGACTTCTGGGCTTCCTGCACTCGTGAGCAGAACTCGGCATTCGCAAGGAAAACACACTCACGATTAAAATGATTAGATGGAGACCATGAGACAAGTCAAAAGCCAGTGACAAGTCGCATCTCGACAATGTCAACAAATGTCAACAAATCTCAAATGCAAACGAAGGCAGGTCAATCATGCAGCTAGGGGGATCAGCTGCAGAACAAACAGTTCCAGGAATGACATGTAGTGACCCATAGTGACCTGATTCGCTTGTGGAATTTATTGGAATTTAGTGACGTGCTCCAGCTGCACGCTCACAAGTGTACTGAGTTCTCCTCCAATGCCTTTCCGGTGCACCTTGGACGATTCGCCAAGAGGATCCATGCATATCCATGCAATATGCTTTGCAGGTCTATCATGGCGATTGAAAATTCTCGGCTGAGTGAAAAGGTGAATGCCATCGCAGTTGGTTTCTCCGATTGCAAACGGCCAAAGAATAGCTGCAGCAAATCAAAGAAAATGGAAATCATAAAAACATCAAATTACAAAAGGAGGACGACACATGTAGAGTGAAGACCAAAGGTGGGGTGGTTCTTTTGTATGCAAAACAAATGCAAGATTGAACTACGCGACGCTCTAATGACTCTAATGTTGGCTAGTAGCTCGGCTTTCACACTGAAGTTGGTATCGATCGTCACGTTCTCGGTTAGGTTGTCTTCTATCAGCTCCGCGTCTTCGCCTTCAAGCCTGAGATCAAAATGTGTAGGAGCAGAGTACTTTGCACAGAATTTTGACTTGATACTTCGCAAAGCAACATTCACAAGCTTGCCGCTTGCCATTTAACAAAGTTAGAAGAAACTATTCCAAACAACTGTATGCTTATTGTTCTTATGGCTTATTGGGAGCCGTTTGGCATAGTCTTTACTGCAAACTAATAATAGTAAAATAATAAAACAAGTTTGAACTTTATCATCTTCATCGAAGATCATCAAAATCATTCAGGATCCTCTCCAGCAAAAGATTTTTCCTTCCGTGCCATCTGCACCGAAAGTGCATCGCGCAGAGTGGATGTTGCATCGCGCAGAGTGGATGTTTGGTTGCTCCAAAGGTGTTTAGCATTAGCACAAGCTTTTATGCCCCAAGCAGTTCGAACCGTCAGCATTTGCAAGCATTAATTCAGCTTTTTGATTCTGCCCCCAACGAGGGGTTATATGTCCCGTACATTTCCAGCCAACCAGCAGTGGCATTGGTGGCCTGTAAATTTACATCTGTAAACGTTTCATGGCTTTGAATGTTTTTTTGGAGAGCGAGGCAATATTGCCAACTGATTCCAAGTCGAGAAAATATGGAAATCAGTCAGACATTACTCTACTTACATGAAACTGCATGGGACCCATATCATCCCACATTGAGGGATGGCTGAAATGTATTGAAATGTATCTACCATGATCTACCTAGGAGTACGGATGAGTAAGGGCACTTGTCTTTACGCTTATTTATCTACTTCACTTTTACGTGTATTCTTGGCACTCTTGCCGAACATGTTGCACCAAAAGATGAACTGCATCTTTTTTCTTTTTTTTGAGAAATTGACAAGTGACACAACAATGCGCTACTAGGTCAAAGTAGCCTGAAACAATATATAGACATATATAGACATATATAGACAACTACGGCTTTCAAGGTGTAACTGTTCTGGTGCGTCTTTCTCCCCATTCTCAGTTCCGTTTGGGCGGTTTGTGAGGTACCTTGTTATGCTTGTTGTCTTGCCAGACTGGTTTGAGGTCCAAAATCAGCACACGACCTCTTGGGGAGGCTGATTGGGCACTTCCCCTAGAAGGATTTAGGAAAGTAAACTATAATCAACAGATTAAATATGATTTAATAAACATTGACACTATTCTACAGCGACATTGGCATTCGCGATCTGATTCAAAGATCCTGGACAGTAAATGATCAGCTCTTATCTTTAAATGTTGGAGAATTACAGTAATCATGGCATGGCACGGCGACTAGAATCAAGTCAAAGAAAAGTTGATGGCACTGTTCAAACAATAACTCTTCGCACATATTTATTCTTCACATATTTCACATGACATATTTACTTGCTACATTTGTCAGCTTAGAGGTCTTAATAATGAATATACATACATATATATATATATTATATTTTTATATATGATCATACATAATATTCTTGCTCTGCTCTTTAATGCCTGGGCCTTGCTAGTTGGAAGGCGGCTCCTCCTGCGCACACCGGCAGGCCACCAAACTCCGAGCTTGGGGATCCAAGGGGCAAAGCAGCCCTTCCCTGCGCATTCAGCTGGTCCAAAACGGCGACCTGGGTCATGGAGTGGTCATGGAGTGGTCATGGAAATTCATAGAATGCCCATGAATGCCCCGTGCACACTATCATCTAGTCGTATCTAGTCGTGAGAAATCCATTGAGCATCATTGAGCTGCCATTGGCAACACATGGCAACACATAGCAACACATGGCAACACTTGAGCCACTACTGCCATCGAGCACAATTGCCCATCAATGCAGCACAAGGTGCGATCTGAGCCTGGCTCTTCTGGAACAAATCCACACCGCCCCAGACCTCACCCAACACTTGAGTCGTGGCAGGATGTCGCCACACCAAGCAACATTCCCTTCAGTGCAAGCATGGAGCCATTTTATCATCGCCCGCGGGGCGCCAGTGCCAACGGTGATGAGGCAACTCGATTGCTTCGCCCTTGAAGCTGCCCCTTGCGCACCTCAAATCTACAGAAGCTTCGCCCAACTCAACTCAATTGCGGTCCTTGTGGTCAAAAGACTCGATCTAAGAGATTCCAAGACTGCACAAAACAACTGCTTGCTCGTCCCCCTGCTGCACGCCATGCACACATGTGGGTGCAAAAACAGGCTACTGTGTAAGCCAAGCTTCAAATTGCACCTTGCTAATGCAGGCAGACTTCGAAAGCGGTGCTGAATCAACAGTGCCCAAGCCAAACGTAGCATCAAATGTATCAACCAGGTCTTTCCAATCTTTCCTCTTGCATTCACTGCTCGCACGTCATAGGGGGGCTGTAAGGGTTTTAGCTTTGAGGTGCTGACCAGAACTGGTTGTTCATGTAGAAATCCTGAAGGCCGAAACAGGACCCCAAACTCTTTTCAGGTGACATTTTGTGTGATGAGCTTGCTGTCTAGGTCAATGCAGCCAAAGTCTCCGTGTAGTAGATCCCGCTTATCTGAGGCCATTGCACGGCATGAGTGTCTGCTGTGAATAGCCAACAACAGGTTTTTTTGATGTTTTTTGGTTGCATCATGTTGCATCCTCTTCTTCCATTTCAGCTTCTCCCCAGCTAAGGTTCTGTGCAAGGTTTATGGTGCTCTTGGTGCAGCAAATGATGCAGTCAAGGAACCTTCCAATTCTGGCGGTTCCAGTGGTGTCGAGAAGCCTTGTATGTGACACCATAGCCTGGGCACCAAGCCGTGTGCACCTCTTTCCTCTCTCTCTCTCTCTCGGAATGAAGTCTGAGTGCTTCATGCTGCTGTAGTCTTCTATGTCTGCCCAAGCAACTCAAACCCACTTCGATATGATTGCCGTGCATGATGATGGTATACTTTGCGCCTCGATAATTGTATTGATAATGGGCCTTGGCAGCTGGAATGATGCTCAGACAATCTCTTGTGCCCCCCTTTGGTTTGACATGGTCTGCTCTTGACATCTCTCGACACTTTTGACACTTGACATCACCAAAACTTACAACCGGCGAAAAACCTGAAAATATTGGAATGGTTTAAAGCTTGTGTTTTTCGTGGCCAAGCCGAATACTCTGCCCCTTCGGCGTCTCCAGTGCCCACCCGCCACCTGGCTGAAAATACAAGGTCCACGGCGGTAAAATCACAGTGCGCGTTCCCGGCTGAGATCCAAAGAAGACCCCCAAAACATGCAAGAAAAGTCGAAAAAAATAGATTTTTCAACAAAAATATTTAATCTGAAAGCAAACTCAGAGAAAGTTCAAAGGACAAACAACTTGCATAATATGGTAAACATCCACTCTCGAAAGAAATTCCAGCGTACAGCTTGAGGCTTGACTTTGTCCAGCTTTGAGATATGATTGACAAACGATTTTCATTAACCATGTTCCTACTATCGCAATTATATGTAGCTCCCACGATGTCTTATGGTTTTTCCTTGTCCTTGTCCTATGCCATGTCCAAAGCTGATGTCTGCACAGCCTTCCATTTCCTCCTGACATCTGCACCGTTCCACTTTGCAATCCAAGGGGGATTTGAGTTGGCTCCTGGGTCCCACACAGCATTCATCACAGATCATGGCCGACACCACAAATTTGGAACATGTCTTCAGTATTCTTCAGTCATGTCTACCGGTGGCCGAACCAATGTCAATGTGTAATTCTGGCCCTCTGCTAGTTCCAGAAAATCACATCCCCTGGTATGGGCTTCGCACAGGGAGTGGCAGAAACGGAACATGAACCTTTGCTTGATTTGTGAGTATGTCAGCAGCTATGTAATTACATCTATTCTTTCCAGCAGCTCTTCTAGAACACAATTGCACATCCCAAACACAACCGTGCCTTCTGACATCTTCTGACTTTGCGCTTTGAACACTTGTGGACCAAAAATATTTCAACCTTTTGATGTCCACTCTTGACATTGACAGTCACCCAGTCAGCATCTACTGCACCACTGCCGAGAACACACACCCTAGCTAGGACCGTGAAAATGCCTTTGTTTGATGGTATGTTCTATGCACTGTACTCAGCCACTGCAAGAATCATCAAAGGCTGGCTATTTAAGGTGCGTCCACTGTCGCAGCAATAGGGACGAATGAACCATCTGCATCTGCCAACTGCTTTTTATTCGGACAAAGGTGGAGTAACATGGAGTAACGGTCTTTGAGTGTGTAAGAGTGTCATTGCAAAGTAGCACAGGGAACGGGAACGACTCACAAAGGGCGATCTGCGGATCAAAAGATGCGATGGAGAGACCTCTGAAATAAAGGGCCAGAAAACACACATATTATCATATAATTAATTAATTGCATGGAGGGGGTATTGGCAATGGGAGGATTGCGAAGGCAAACCAGGAAGCCCTTAAGAAGGCAATTATATCAGGTGTGGGAAAACCTTGGAACATGGCCATCCACCTGCACACAAAAGAAGTCCGAAGACCTGAAAGCAATTGAGCAAAATTGACATTTTTTCTGTGCTTGATTGTCCTGTATTATGTGCTTACTGATATGACTCTGATATGACGAATATTTTCATTTTCTTTAAGTATAATATGTTAACCACGCAACATTTTGCAGTCAACTGCAGTCAAGTCTCGGATCGTCAAAACGTTTTTGCCCAGGAACATCCCACCAAATGCAGTTGCCATTGTTGCAGAAGGGTTGGCGGGTCCATAGACACCCTGGACCCACATGAAATTGGGGCTGTTGGGGCAGGACCTGGGCACGCGGTGGAGAACTGTGAAACCATGCCAAATCAGCCCAAATCAAATTGGTGTTGCTAGACTGTGCCTCAGCTAATTCAATCTGCTTTGTCGCTCAATTCGCTAGCATCCTTGCCAGCTCTCTCTCTCTCTCTCTCTCCATCGCCCTCCCAGAAGTTCTTGCAGCTAAGGAACTGCCTCAGCACCCAATGCGTACCAGGCACCAGTGGGTCGCTTCTTCGACCGTGTCCTTTACATCCCACCGTCCCCGCCGTTTGATTGTGCATGTTCAGCAATGTCAAATGTCAGCAATGAGAGAAAAATGCTGTGACACCCCACGACTGTAAATGCAACCCATACCAAAAACGATTCCATTTAATAATATTTAATATACAGTATTTAATTAGTTTTCGTGCGACCAAGGGCAATGCCCGGGAATTTCAGTTTTTCAATGTTTTGTGCAGGCGTTCCATCCCGACGAGCTGCTGCAGGTGAAATGTGGATCGCCAGACCAACAATTGTAGAATCCGGAACCCACCTGTGGCATCTCGATCCTCAGACAAGATGTGACAAGATACTTGTCAAAAATACTTCAAATATCTACAAAAAAAAAATGTTGTATCATGATTAGTGTCATGGTACGCCGCTATTGTGTCAAGTTTTCCCAAAATAATTCTGATCCTGTGAATTGGTGGGGGCGGGTCGGTATTGTGTCAATTTTTTTCTGAAACATGTGTGTTTTTTTTTCATTTTTTTGGATCAATTTTTTTCAGCATTTTTTTTGTATGTTTTTGTGTTTCATTTTTTAATAATTAATCAATTAATTGTACGTATATTGCAACATGTGTTTGAATATTACAACATATGTTTCATATATATAATATATATAACAATAAATAAATTTGAATAAATTTGAAATACACAAATCAAAATAAAATGTTTTTTATTAAAACCCCATTAAAAAACAACACCCAAACAATTTTCAAGGGGGTAGTCCATGAGCAACATTGATTTTCAACAGTATGTTTGTTGTGGGGGTCCTCTATTGTGTCCTGTTTTTTTTCTGAGGTTAACATTTTCACTTTTCACGTTCCTTTTATCCCGTCCTTTGCCATAAGTTTTACCTTTTACTTTCTTGAGTTCCATTTGGTTTCCCAAAATAGAGGATGTCTTATTAAAACCCCCATTAAACAACGGCACCCATACAATTTTTCAAGGGGGTAACCCATGAGCAACCCTGATCTTCAATTGTGATGTGGGGGTCCTCTATTGTGAACAGTTTTTTTGAAGTGAAAAATGTTCCATTTTTTTGGTCGTTTTCTTCTTTCCTTTCCTTTAGTTTTTCTGTCTTACTTTCTTAGCCCCATTCGTTTGGAATTCTCAAAATGTCTCGTTTCCCAAAATATAGGATGCCTTCTTAAAACAACATAAAAAAAAACACTCAAACCATTTTTCAAATGGGTGGCCCATGAGCAACCCTGATCTTCAATCGTATGTTTGTTGCGGGGGTCCTCTATTGTGCCCAACTTCTTTTTGAAGTGAAAATGTTCCAAAATCCATCAAAATCTGTTCTCCTTTCCTTTGCTATGGTTTTTGTCTCTTACTTGGTTCAATTTATCCGGGCATCCTCTCCTTGATTTCTATGGTGTTTCTATGGATTTTCAACAGGGTTTCTACAAGAATTCTATGGAATTTTTGTGGTGTTTCTATGATGTTCTATGGGGCTTCTTTAGGATTCTTATTGTATTTCTATGGGGTTCCTATTGGTTTTCAAAAGTCGATGTCTATGGGATGTCCATTGGATTCCCATCGGATGCATTTTTATGATATTTCTATGGGATTTCTTTGGGATTTCCAGGGGGTACCCAAGAGGTTTCTTTGGAATTGCTATGGGGGTTCTATGATATTTCTATGGGATTACCAGTAGTACCAATAAAGGCGGTGGCGGAAGTTTCAGAATAGGAAACCTATAGGGGAGCTTGGTTCTTGTGAATTGTGAATCAAGGATGGCAGAGCGAATCCACTGATGGACTGAAAGGTGGTTGGAATTGTTTTTTGGAGTGGTTACCATGGTTAGTGGTCACCTGGTCGGTCACCTCACCCACAACTGCTGCATGTAGTGTGGTGTAACGCAGCTGTAGTTGTAGTTGTAGCGTAGTGGAGTTGTAGCTGTGGTGTGTAATGTAATTAGTGTAGTGTAGTTGCAGCTGCATTTGTGGTGGTGTAATGAATGTAGAGTAATGTAATGTAGTGTGGTGTAGTGTAGTCTAGTGTAGTGTAGTGTAAAGTAGTGTGGTGTGGCGTGGCGTGGCGTGGTGTGGTGTGGTGTGGTGTAGTCTAGTGTCGTGTAGTGTAAAGTAGCGTCGTTGTAGCTGTAGTTGTAGTTTGTGTAGTGTAGTGTGGTGTGGTGAAGTGTAGTGTACTGTAGTTTAGTGTAATGTAATTAGCGTAGAGTAATGTAATTAGTGTAGTGTAGTGTAGTGTAGTGTAATGGTAGTTGTAGTTGTAGCTGTAGTTGTAGCTGTTGTTGTAGTGTAGTGAGTGCAGTGTAGTGGAGTGGAGTGTAGTGTAGCGGAATGTACTTAGTGTAGCGTAGTGTAGTTGTAGTTGCAGTTGCAGTTGCAGTTGCAGTTGTAGTTGTAGTGGAGTGCAGTGTAGCGTAGTGGTGGTTGTAGCTGTACCTGCGACAACAATGTCGCGTTTTGCTCACATTTTGACGCGGTGCATAATCGCTTGCGCCTGCCACGCGAAACGACATCTGAACGTCCAAAAGTGCTCCAAACCCACCAGTCTTTTACACTGTTGACTTCGAAATGTGCTTCGCGCCACAACGGCGTGCACTTTTTCGACATCTCAACTTCCAAAAGTGGTCCGAACCTCTGGTGCTTTGTACATTTTGACTTCGACATGTGCTTGGCGCCCCAACAGCGTGCACTTTTTCGACATCTCAACTTCCAAAAGTGCTCCGAACATGAGGTGCTTTTAGCATTTTCAGTTGCAAATGTGCTTCACAAGGGCGTGCAACTTTTCATCTCTCATCTGGCCAGCTGGCTCCGCACCCGCCGCTTTAGCGAGCCTACTTTTCGACCCTCTGGAGCCATAAATCATTAGAAAAACACAGTGTTCCGCGACTTTCCTACCTTTTCGGGCACCTGCATCTTCTTTCTTCTGACTCTTTCTCTTCTCTGATCCTCTCTTCTGCTCTTCTCCTCTCCGACTCTTCCCACCTCTGCTTTGCTATCTGTCCATATTGTCGGAAGTTTGACGCCTAAACTTCCTTCGTGGGATTTCGATGGGGGTTCTTTGGAATTTCTACTGGGTTTCCAAGGGATGTCTATGGATTTCCACTGGATTCCTATGGAATTTTGATGGGATTTGTATGATATTTCTATGGGATTTCCTTGGGGCTCCTATGGGATTTCCATGATATTTCTTTTGGATTTCGATTATATTTCTATGGGATTTCTATTGGATTCCTATGGGATCTCCATGATATTTCTACCAGTAGTACCGCACAAGGCGGTGGCGGAAGTTTCAAAAATAGGAGAGGTTGTTTGTTGTGAATCACGGATGGCAGAGCGAATCCACTGATGGACTGACAGGTGGTTGGAGTTGTGTTTTTTGGAGTGGTTGCAATGGTTGCAGTGGTCACCTTACCACAACTGCTGGATGTAGTCTGGTGTAGCGCGCAGTTAGCGCAGTTAGTTGTAGTTGTAGTTGTGGTGTAATTAGTGTAGTGTATTGTAGTGTACTGTACTGTAGTGTACTGTAGTGTTGTGTACTGTAGTGTGGTATAGTGTAGTGTAGTCTAGTGTAAGGTAGTGTAGTTGTAGTTGTAGTGTGGTGTAATGTAATTGGTGTAGTGTCG